ATAGAGATAGACATAGACATAGAGATAGAGATAGAGATAGAGATAGAGATAGAGATAGAGATAGAGATAGAGATAGAGATAGAGATAGAGATAGAGATAGAGATAGAGATAGAGATAGAGATAGACATAGACATAGACATAGACATAGAGATAGACATAGAGATAGAGATAGAGATAGAGATAGAGATAGAGATAGAGATAGAGATAGAGATAGAGATAGAGATAGAGATAGAGATAGAGATAGATATAGATATAGATATAGATATAGATAAAGGTATGTATGTGTTTATAGACCTTTGCAATTATATATGTATAAACACACCTAAAGTCAGAGTCATCTATACCTCAGTGTACACACAGAGTTGAATTACACCACGTAGCTCTCTGTATGGCTGCACCCCTGTTCGTTGGCACTTCGTCCCTTGAGTCCAAACAACTATGAAGCACCTTGAGCAGGAGAATGCAAAGAAAAGCTCAAGCGTTTCAACCTTCCAGTAGCTCGTCGCTTTGGGTGTTAGTTTAGGTTTGGGCTTGGAGGCTCTGTCGAGGAGTTCCTGGCATGGGGCTTGGGATTTAGGATCAGCTTTGGAAACCCGCCCATCCAATGCGATGCAGTCATTACACTGCTCTGCCAAGAAATCCTGGACCAAAACAGAACACAGCACCATCTTTCTGAATATGTCGTTGTTACTGCGTCGTTACACTCATGCACTGCCTGCCTGCCGTGCAGTGCATCGTATCCAAAGGCGGGAGTTTCGCACGATAGGGCAGACTAACACAGACCCAAGATAAACGGATCCTTAATATGAGGGTCAAATGTGACGAAGCCCCCTACTGCACCCAATCCCCCTGTATGAACCCGTGGAAAGCCCTTGAAAACAAGTAGAGTAGGGTGTTGGGCCCCATCATACTATCAATACAATAAGGAAACCCTCCAAAATAGTGTTGGTAATTCTTGAGGCCCCTACGTGAACCCTAAATCCAAAACCCTGAACCCCGAAATCCCCGCCTCGGCGGTGGTGTCCGCCTCCAGGCGAGCGAAGTCGGCAGCGATGGTCTGGGGGATCCGGAGAGTGAAAGTTGTTTTAAAGTGCAATGCGCCCCTCTTCTGTGCGAGCAGGGCACTTCCCTTTTCGGAGGTGCTCTGGTAGAGAGTGAGAGTTTAGGGTCTAGGGTTTACGGTTTCGTGTTGATGGGAGAGTGAACGTGAAATGACGGAGAGGAGTTTGGGGTTTCGGGGCTTCAAGGTTTTCGGGCGTCAGGGCTTTAGGGTTTGAGGGATATAGTGTTTGGGGCTTGGGGTTGCAATTTGGGACGTAGGGCTCGGGCGGTCTAGGTTTGAGACTACTATTACGATTACGATTACTAATGCTATTACTCTTACTATCAATATTACAGTACTGTTACTATGTGGTTTACTTGGAGGATCATGGGACTTAGTAAGTAAGGTTATAAGTACCCTAAATTGGGTTATAGTTATAGTTACCTTATTCATAACCCTAGTTACTAAGTCCCATGATCCTCCAAGTAGGGTGGTTTGAGGTGCAGTGCTGGTCTGGTGTGAAGTCGAGGCTTAGAGCTCGGATTTGCTGGTTGCAGGTCTGGCGACAGCGCTTGCAAAGGCTTCAGGGTTGCAGGCTTTTAATATAGGGGCCTTAACAATGAGAAGAGGGTTTTGGGGCCCATCATA